TCCTGGGAAAAACTAAGGTTGCTGCTGTAAGAGCTGTTAGTGCATAGTGATGGGGACACTATACTGTAAACAGGCGCCATCCTTCGGATGAGATGTAAAACCAAGGTCCTGACTCTATGTGGTCATTAAAAATCCCACGGCGTTTCTCGAAAAGAGTAGAGGTGTTACCCTGGTGTCCTGTCATGGCTTCCTAATAATCCCCATCTATGAACTGGCTTCATTACTCTGCTCTCCTCCCCACCGATAGCTGATGTGTGGTGAGTGTTCTGGTGCATTAAGACTGCCGACGCATCATCCAGGTGGGTGCTGCACATTGGTAATGGTGGAGGGGAGTGGAGTGTCCAGAAAAAGCGCTATATAAGTGTAAGCAATTATTATTATTATTATTATTATTATTATTAAAAGTATAAGTTATATAAGGTAACATATTTTGTTGGAGAAGACAATCTCTGTTCTCTGGTGGAGAGCTCTGCAAGGTCTGTAGTTCAAGAAGGATCATGACAGATCATCTGTTTTTCATTTATGTGTTGTCTGTTGTCCTTGGAACATGTGTAGCTGTAGAGGCACATCACATTACAAGACCTGCTGATTACAAACTCACGGAGAACATAAATAGATGTTTTTTATTATTACTCATATCTTTTAAATCTGAGATCTGCGGTTTAGATATCTGTGTACAATTACAGACGCACATACTGTATACCTATTACTGAAAAATCTGAAGTAAGTCTATAAAGTATATAAAATCTGAAGTAAGTCTATTTACTGTGTATGCCTACAATATCCCAATCAAAAACATAGCAGCAGGAAAACAAACTGACTAGGATTACCTCTAATTCACACACCATAAACATTCCTTAGCAGCATTAATTGTATAACTCAAGAAATGAAAGAATGGAAATTGTTTTGTTTATATATTATTTTGGATGTTACATTACAAATTGAAACATTGATTGTGGAAGTAATATTCAATTTAATAAGAAGTCGGGAGAACCTGCTTTTAAGATGCATTTTTTCATTTATATTAAATAAAAAACATTAAATATAACAATGTAATTGATGACTTTTAAAAATTATATACCACTGAGGTCTTGTTAAATTAAAAAAAAAATCCTTACCATAAGACCTTGCAACTGTAAGGATCACTTTTTAAACGTAGCTTACTACAAAGCTGGATATACTGTATGACACCAATTTTATACACTGTATGCTTTATATTCAAAGTGGTTAATTTTGCCTTTGACAAAGTTATTACTATGCATTGGAAAAAGCCACCACGTGCATTTTTAGCATTATCCCAAGGTAGTCCTCACCTAGTAGATAGAGAATTGCAGTACACTTAGCATCAGTTTTCTCTAGTGCCTCTTCTAAACTCATTCTAACATCTCTTGACACTCGGATAAAATCAGCATACTTTTGTAGAAAGCAAAATATCCTTAACTAGGATACTACTCCAAAAGCATTCTCCACATTTCTGTTGTTAAAACACTTAAAATTCATTTAGGATAACAGCAATATAAGAATTGTACAAGGGAAGGTACATATTTATACAACTATATTAATATTTTGTAAGTTATATTTAATTGCCATTTTGAAAGTGTTTCAGATCCTGCTTAGAAATAAAAAGATCATCAAGTTGAATTATCTTCAAGTTATATGCAGTATGTACCATAATTCTACTACACAATGTATAGAATAGGCACTCTTGATGCTCTGAATCAGTTCAATTCACAGCAAACATCACAATAAAAGGTCCTGGTCCTTCTTCATTGGCTTAAATTTCTGATTGCCATTTTTTCATATTCATTCTTTGCACAGCAGTGTACTATCTAAGATTAAACCAAAGGCACAATTTTGCAAAATGATATTCTCAATTGCTGCCAGTGTATCTCAACTGGCACTGTAAAGAAACATAAAAACCCCGCCTTTTATTTCAGCGCTGACTCCTTTGAGAATGTGAATTTCAAAAAAGATGGTTTGATGGTGTGCAAATGATTGACTGATAGGATATTATTTATAAACCATTTCCAAAAGTCACACCTGCTTAACACATCCTCTTAACAAGAGTTGAAAAATAAACAATTGCATGCTAAAAATAATCCATCCACCAATCCATTTTCAAACCACTTCATCCAATTCAGAGTTGTGATGGAGCTGGAGCCTATCCTGGCAAACAAGGTTGGGATACACCCTGGACAAGACACCAGTCCATCGCAGGGCACACACAGACACACACCATGGCCAATTTTCTCTGCATCAGGAGGAATCTCACACAAACACAGGGAGAACATACTAACTTCACACAGATAACACCCCAGCGCTATGAGGCAGCAATGCTAAAAACTGCACCACTGTTTCACCCTGAGAAATAAAAATGAAATCTAAAAACACAAAACCCCCATTACAAGTACATTTGTTTTTGATAACCTTGCTGTGGTTAATCACTTCCCTACATTTCTGCACATAATCTTTCCAACATTCATTTTGCTTCACACAAATAAATCGGCAGGATCTGTATGCCTCTTTAATGTGATAACTTCAAAATCCATTTACAAAGGGTAACTCCTTCATCACAATACAGATCACTTTCCATATTATTACTGCAAACCACTGCACTGTAATTTGTAATAATAATGGGACATGATTTATTTCAATAATTATAACCTCAAGTGTTAATAGGCAATTGAGAAAACACTTAAACCATATTATCTCAGAGCTGTTTAATACAAGCTAGATGGATCTCCACCTATTGCCACATTGAAAGGATTCAGTGAGCCACCTCACTGCTGCTACTGTTTTTCAATTTAGAGCTTTCAATGCTCAAAACTGTAATTGAGGAGGCAGTGTTTTTAATCATCTGGCATTAAACCTCATAAATTACAATATTTTAAACCCACTCCAGAGCAAAAATAAAAACTTTGACAATTGACTAAGATGTTTACTCTTAAGTAAAAGTCATCTTTAAATTTGTCTTTTAAACTCTGAAAAGAATTACATTCTGTGACTCCTGTTTTATAGGTATCATGATTAGCTGTTACAACAATCATTTTTTTTCCATATGAGTGAGGCTCGTCAATATATAATCATATATATATGTGCAAAATCAACCAAGTATTTTTAGTTTAGACGGGAAATGTTAAGAACTTTTTTTCAAGAACCAAAACAAAACATGAAAAAACAGGCCTAGAAAACACAAAGCTTAAGAAAACAACAACAACAACATGCTTGATCTTGTAGTTTATTTCCCTTTTAGACAGCCATGAGATAAGAATAGTGTGTTTCTAAGTAGGACAGCCCCATTATGTCCCAGAAAGGGAGCTTTCCACATAAGCAATATGAAATGGTAATACAGTACATACTGTATATGGAAGGTCTAAATCTTGGCTCCTTGGATGACCCCTCATCTACATAAACTGAAATTTCTAATTAGGCCCACTGAAGAGGCTGGACAACATGGCAGGCATCCTGGCTGTAGATTGAGCTGCATACAGGTGTGTTAACTCACTGGGGCTGTCATTCTTCCCACACTATTCTGAAGTAGGCACACAGGTGTTCTCAAACTTTTCTGCCATAAGAGGGTTACTTTCAATAGGGACCCTTATTTTCAAGTAGAGTATCAGCTATCCTGTAGTACAATGCTAATGTCAGGAATAAAACATTAACATGAAAACTATTGGGTAATTGATCATAGATTTTTAAAAACAGATTTGGAAGCATAGAGGAGCCACTTAGAATCTGTGTCAATTCTTATTACCACGGTAATACCATGGTTCCGCTGCACAGTCGTTTGTGTGATTCACTGGCCAAAGACAATGCATACTGTTGGTGTAAGATGTTAGTGGAATGATTGCTTCATGTTGTGCATGTATAAATCCTCTTAATATGGAATATTAATATCAAATTATGCAACTAAAGGGATGTTTTGGTGTTTGTTCTAACTATATAAAGCTGCCATCATTGTTGTAAATGTTTTCTGATGTAGCACTGTAGGGAGTGTTTCGTGCCTTGATGGTGCATTGTGTCCTTGCAGAAGGGAGGAGGGAAAATGGAAGAAGGTTTTCATTTTCACTCACCGTCTTCAACACACATCACCAATAGTCTCAAATGCAGCTTTAGCTTAGGAACTCCAATTCCCATGAACCCCACAGGACTACTTCCTGGCAAAGTCTATGCGACAAATTAATTTAAATAACTACTCAAAAACTTTTTTTTTCAATCTGGCCTTTTAAATACAAATATTTTAAGGACACTATGTTTAACATTTTTTATCATTAAAATCTTAAATAAATAAAACAATTCTCTAATGATGTAACCAAATTAATATTTAAAATATACTAACATTTTTATTAATTTTATATAATCACAGTATGTTAAATATTCACTTTACATTCACGATATCTTAAGCCCATATCAGTACTGGGGACAAATCAGATATTTAATTGAGGAAGAGAAAGAATAACTTCAGCCCCAACATCCATCCACTGGACAGACTGAGAAAGGTGTTAACTATCCAGTTGAAACAGATGCAAAGCTGGTATCAGATTACTTAAAGAAGTGCATTTCAATGCATTATGTCCACGCATTCTAAATGGCTGGACCTGTACAAGATTACTGAATAAGCACTACTATTCGCTTCAAAATTCCCCTAAAGCTCTTCAAGAAACCCCAAGGTTCCCAATTTTGCTTTTGATTAATATGGTTTATTTTAAACAGAGAAAATCAATACCTCAGTTTGAGAACAACTGCCCATTTATATGCCATCTCAATCGATGTCATATATGGGGCTATGAATTCATACAGTACTTTAAAAACAAAGCATAAGAAAGAGAAGACTGCTATCCTCTAAAAATGAATTAAAAATAATTATAGGTGAAAACCATATGATTTTGTTTTGTTTTTTTTTGTACATAGGTGTTTATTAGAAGTACTTAGAAATCACCAGCCATAGAGCACTCCACACAAAGTGTCACAGCCCACACTTTCACTACCATGATGTCTACCTTGAGTTCAGGCTGTTATTGTCACCTTCCTCCTCACTGTTACAATACTCTTCTGCTTCCTCATTCCTGGGACAAGTCAAATAATAGGTGTTACCTACTTTACAGCATGTAAAAAAAGAATTAGCAAGTGGGAGTTGCCAGGATACTGTAGTTTATTTTTCCTTCAACACATACATCATATACTTATGATGTATGGCTTTTATACCACCAGAATTATTATGAAACCTGTAATATTAGTCTAGCATGTCATATTATATTGATATAGCAAGGCAAATGAGCACAGCATGAAGAAAAATCACAGCATGAAGAAAAATATTTGCAAATAAGCAGAGATGAATGACAGATAAAATTAATAAGATGTACTGAAAATGTTTAAGTTGATAATATAGAATAGACATAAAACCTAGAAAATCGACATACTACAGTTATCCATGTGACAGAGGATGGAAGAAGCGATTACACAGCCAACCACATTATTACAGAATTGACAACTGATTCTGGTTTCTCACAATGAACATGAGAGGTCCGATGTTAATATAGATTTGCTGAGAGATAAGTGGGTGCTCTTATGCATTACAACAGCAGCCAACTCGGAAATTGGCTCTTAATGTACATAGTCCGCAGTTCTGTGTCATTACCCTGAAATGGTGGTGTTGGAAATGTCAGCAGAACCTAATTAAAATGGGTAGAGTTGTCAAGCGGAATTATACAGGTTAGTGCGAAGAAAATGAAAAAAATCCTTTGCATGCAATGGTCTGTTTATTAGTCTTGTGTGGACATATATTCACTGCAGTAATTGCCTATTTTTATATGTCAAAGATTCCCTAAAGGCACTGTGTAATTCACACATTATCAAACTTTGGGGAACTGCATACATTTTAACCATACCCTAGTAAAATAGTATGCTCTTTTAGATCCATTGAAATAAATTATTTGTGAGATGAGTATTCAGAACAAATGCTATTAAAACTGTTCTACTGCTAATCTTACCGGTGAACAGATTATAATTATGGTCACAAACCCTTGAAGGTGAATTTGCTTGATCTCCTCACAAAAACAAATAAAGCCTGCAGTTGCACTGCTGTTGAATAATCAGCAACAGTACTTCTTAGCATGTTGTGTAAATTAATTTTAGATGAAAGTACAGATTAAATATATTTATATCATGTTGTGACTTTATATTATTCACTAGTTAATTTCATTTTATGTGTATAGGATTTAAGGGGTCCCTTCATGTTTTGTTGTTATTTACCGCATACTGTATGAATATAATACACAGAACAAGATAGTACTCTTTTCTTGTCCTATTTGATTTTAAGAGAAGTGAATATACCGTATGAAAATGAAAGGAGGTCTGCCAGTCTACCCAGCCAAAAAAAAAAAACATACATGAGAGATTTCAGCATGTTAGTTCAGGTATGTGTTTAGTTCAGGGAGTAAGAGTCATATTTTCTGTGCTTTGCACGTGGATGAAAATGCTAAATAATGTTACTAAATACAAAATGGGACCTAGACGAAAATCTGAAAATCAAAAAATGTTTCAAAAATTGTAAAAAATGTTAAGAACACAGTAAAATACTGATCACTATGCTCTAAGTTGTTACTATCTCATGTCTCATTATCTCCAAATTATGGAGATGAAGATTTTAAGGGGTGCAAATTTCCTTTACAGGAAAATGTAGCCATTCTTGCTGTGATTGTAGGATTCAGTAGAGCTACAGAGAAAACAAAATTAAACTCAGACTAACAAAACCAACAGCAACAATAACAAATACAAAACAACAGGTAAAAGCATACTGAAGTGTGAAAATTCATTGACGTTTTTAGCAAAAGGTTCAGCTATGGTATCAAAGTAGTTAGAATAAATATGGCAGATTGCCAACTTTGATCATGTATTATATGTGTGATTATGTTGTAAAATATGGGGGAACAATCTAGAGTATTCAAGCACCATTTCAGAAACACAAAATCAAACATCTAAAGCTTAGTGCACCTTCAGATGTCCTTAAAATTGCATCCCATTTCAGGATAATTTGAAGGTATTGACTGGATTTTGAATGGAAGATTTTTCAGCTATTGCTATGAAAGAGAGGCATCATAGAAACAGACTTGCCTGAAGGGTTGCTTAAATAAAAAAAAAACAATGTGGACTGCAATGGTAATCTTCCGAAAAACGCAATTACAATATACTCTCTTCTTAAGGGCCAAAATTATTCACTTCTATTGCCTCAACTCAGGTTTGAGTGGCCTGATATACAGTACTTAGCTTAGGCTGTGACAAAGCCAAACAAACAAGCCATCCTTCATGAAGGCATATGTTAGTCACAACATGTAGGAATTTCATTGAAACTCAGCAGACAGCAGACACACAGGGACCCGGATGGGGAAATATTGGTCTATACAAGTTCCCGATTTTGGACTGGGTTAATACACTATTATGGAAGACAACAAAAAAGGGAAAGCCTATTTACTGCTTGGTGCCTAGTGATCTTCTGGTGTTGATAGTTTTCCAAATAAGCTGTCAATACTACCTCAACCACCCCACAGTGATGATCATCCTTTATTGTACTTAACTCCTATAGCACCTTCAGTAACTGACTTGTTCTTTGATCTGGACTGACACAGGGATGTACAATAAGTGTGGTGGAGCCCAGTGCATCAATCTGCTACCTTTTTACTTTTCTTGACACCTCCGCACATCAGTTCAGCTCTCCTGGATAAAGCTAAAGCTTCCTTATTAAGGACTGACAGCTCCTGACATGTGTTTCAGGTTATACAGTAAATATCACCTTTATTTTTTGCTACACTACACACACGCCCCTTTCACTTCTCCTGTGGCAAACACTGTTGTGCTTCAAGGCAAGCCATGCACTCACTTTCTGAAGGAGCGAATACTCAGGTGGGACCTCCCAGGTGACACTCCCGATCCTTGGCTGTGTCCCGAGAGCAGGCTGTCCGTTTCAAACTGAAATGCTCCGTCATTCTCGTTGGAGCCATCCAGGAATTCGCCGTCGCTCCAGGCCCCGACAGTCCTGTCCATAGCCTGGTACTTGATCTCGATCGTAACACATGTCTGGGACAAACACAAAGAGATGAAAGACGCTCCATGAATAACTTCTTTTAGGCAGCAGATGTCTTTTATTTTTTCTCTAAAACATCATATTTATGCTTGAATAAGGAAATTATTTTTTTACAAAAGGAAATTATTTGTTACCCTAATCATAACATCATCTGTTAAAATGTGTTTCTCAAAGCACAACAAAATGTACTTAACATACCAAAACCTAAGGAATAGGGCCTATATTTAATAATTTTAATATTTACCTGCTTTTAGTCTTCCAGCCACACTATTACAAGCCTCCACAATAATAGTATTAGAAGCAACCTAATTCTGCTATTTTACTTTCACCAATTCATATTTGAACTTCACACTACTACTAACCACAATTAAACATTTGACAAAACAGGATGATTTAGATATCAGCTGTCATTCTTTTCCTCCATCCAAGTTTTGTGAAAATGTAGGTAATAGAAGGCTTGCAATGAATTTGAATTTCCTAAACCTGAAATACACAGTAAGTACATAGCTTTTCAGCATACAGCAAGCAGACACTTTTCACATACAAGATGAAACTAGAAACAAACCTTGTGTATGACTGTGCACTAGCAATGGAACCTTGAACATATCTAATATACAGTACTTAGATATACTTTGTTTACAACATGTCATCCTTTTTATCAGAAACACACATATCCAAAGATTAAAGGATGACTTTCAAAATCAAATGAGAAACCCAAGGGCTTCTACCATTCACTTCTAGTGTAACAATATAAAATTCATTACAGTTGCATTTTGAAAATAACATTATACTAATGAATATCTGTGGAGCTGCATGCTTTCAATGTTTGCTTCCAACTGAGACACTAGAGTTAAAATGACTATCATTTAAATCAGCTCAGTGACTTTATTTCTAATTTAAAGACAAACAACATAACGAAATGTCACTAGGAAACATTCTTAAACAAAAGTTATTAAATTTTATTAAAGATAATGATAAAGATGTGTTTAAGATGTGCTATGCTAGGGCTGTACTGGTACATTAATAATATGTTTAGTTGTTTTTGTTTCTTTAGGTTATGTTTTACAGTATGTGCTTGTGAGTTGACCATGCTGTTTGTCTGCTTAAGCATGAGAAGCTTTGCTGCATACTGTACTTGGGACAATATGTTTGAATTTCTGCCGAAGCTGTACTTATTTTCAAGGGACTGTATCTACAGGTGTTAGTTCAGGCAGCTACCACCGGAATTATAAACACCAGCCCAGGAAGTGGGGGAAGAGGGCTGGTGTTCTAGTACAGCTTCAGAGACAAAAACACCACTGCCTGGTTTAATCCCGTGCAAAGCCTGTTCCCTGGCTAATGAGCTGGCTACTCCCAGGCGAGATCTGTTGGTGATTCTCAGGGTGGAGGTGTCAGTTTTTATGTGAACAAGAAGTGGTGTAAAGATTCTGAATCTTTCTTGGTCCAGCTCACCAGAGGTAGAGACTCTTACAATCAACTGCAGACCTTTTAACCTCCCGCTGGAATCCACTTCCATTATCTCAGCAGCAGTTTATACACCTCTGCAAGCAGGGGTCACTGCCATCGGCCGTGCTGATACTTGGGGGATTTAATCACAATTTAAGGAAGTTTCCGCCAAGGTTCTAACAACAGATATTGATACAGTACATGTTGCCATCTGGAATAATAAAATACATGACGAGCAATTCTGTACTATTCCTGAAGCATTTCACACTGTATCCTGGGCCGCCCTTGGTCATTCTGATGCCCATGTGATCTTCCACATTCCTAAATATTGCCAAAAATTGAAATCCACCAATCCCTTAGTGAGGATCGTGAAACAATAGTCTTCCTCAGCAGTAGGTACGATATGTGATTGGATAATACTGACTCAACTGTTTTTACTGTACTGAAGGTAGGCATGTAGTGACTTACAGCACATGAGTATACAGAAATGGTAACCTCCATTTCCATATGTAACCTTAAGATGAGTACATTTCATCTAGGACAGTGACTGTTTTTAGTAATAACAATTTCGCTGGGTGGTTAGGATGTTATGCAGGCAGAGAAATGAAGCTCATAAAAGCGGAGATAGAGAACATTACAAAATGGCTAAATACAATTTTGAACGGGCTGTGAGGATGGCCAAGGCTAATTACAGTCTCTTGGGTTCCTGCATGTGTTAAGTCTACAGTGATTATTCCAGTGCCTAAGAAAGCCAATGTCAGCCGTCTGAATGATTATAGGCCTGTGGCTTTGACCTACGTTATTATTAAAGTTTTAGAGAGACTGCTTGTAACCATCTGAACAATGCTGAGCTGACCTTTTACCAGTTCGTGTACAGGGCCATTAGGCCCATGGAGGATGCTGTTTCTCTTTCCTGCAGAACCTTGAGGCTCCTGCTATCTATGCATGGGTCCAGTTTATTGACTACTGCTCCCCATTTAATACAACATTTGCAGTCTGAAAATCCTAGATTTTCTGTGATAGAATGCAGGTGGTGAAGATGGACAACATGCTTTCTAAGTCTATGGCTCAATACTTGTGCCCCCCCAAGGCCGCATACTGTCAGCACCGATTTACTTGTTACACACAAATGAGTGTGTCTCTGTTTCGGATTCTGTGAAAATAATAACATTCTCAGATTGCACAACATTAGTAGGTTTAAACGCTAATAATGACAAAACAGCATACAGTACAGTAGAAGTGAGGTCTGTACTGGTATCATGAGAATTGTTTGGAGCTTAACATTTGTAAGACTCAAGAGCTGGTGGTGGACTTTCAGAGGGGCAGGGGTGATCAGCCACCATTTGTCATCAATGGCCAGCCTGTGGAGAGAGTGGACACCTTCAAGTCTCTTGGCATGACCATCTGTCACTGAAGTGGGCGGAGCGGTGGCTCTGTGGCTAAGGATCTGCGCCTGTGACTGGAAGGTTGCCGGTTCAAATCCCGCGGCTGGCAGAGGAATCCTACTCCGTTGGGCCCCTGAGCAAGGCCCTTTACCCCAACTGCTCCAGGGGTGCCGTACAATGGCAGACCCTGCGCTTTGACCCCAAGCTTCTCTCCCTGTCTCTGTGTCTGTGTCTCCCTGGAGAAAAGCTGGGGTATGTGAAAAGACGCATTCCTAATGCAAGAAATTGTATAGGGCTAATAAAGAAACATTAAAAGTTAACATGAGCCTCATCATGAAGAAAGCCCATCAGAGCCTGTAACCCCTACGACAGTTGAAATTTGGAGGTAATCAGGAAGTAATGACACACTTCTACAGAACTGTGATTGAGCCAGTGTTCATCTTCTTGATAACAGTGTAGTACAAAAATACAACTGCCCAGGAGAGGAAGCAGCTGGAAAGAGTCACATGCATAGCATCTAAGGTCACTGGACATGATTTTTCCTCTGTTGCTTCTATTTATGACAGCTGCATCAAACAGAAAATGAAGAAGGTTTCCACAGACCCCTTCCATCAACTCATTTTTTAAACTTCTTCTTTTGGAGAGGTTTCAAAGCTTCACATTTAGTACTGTTCGGTTCCAAGCACCTATCTAGAGGTCTCAATATGTTATATGTGTAATATGTGTTTTTGTTGTTTTTATCTAGGCTGCACTAGCGCACATCGCCATCAACTTTGTTGACGTGGGAATTAAGTATAAATTAATTTGTCTTTATGCACTGTGTGAACATAAGATGTTACTTATGCCACCATAAGTGGGCAGAGTGGTGGCACTGTGGATAAGGATCTGCATCTGTGGCTGGAAGGTTGCCAAGGCCCTTAACCCAGCTGCTCCAGGGGTGCTGTATAAATGGCTGACCCTGCGCTCTGACCCCAAGCTTCTCTTTGTGTCTGTGTGTCACATAGAGAGCAAGCTGGGGTATGTGGAAAGACAAATTCCTAATGCAAGAACTTGTATATGGCTAATAAAGTGATCTTATCTCATATAAAGAGAGAGTTTGAAAGAATTGTGTCTCACACATAGTAGATAGGTTTACGGGGTTAAAGAGTAATGATTGAGTCATTTCTGTTTCATTCCCTTTCGTAAATATGAAGGTTCCTCATGAGCAAGATCAAATTAAGTTATTTTGTCAAGAGATGGAAATATAAAATAAAAAAGCACGTAAAACGGTAGTCTGTTCAGAAATAATAGAAATGCACATCACTAGTTTTTTGTTTGCTAGATCAGTGCACAGTCATGTCTGCCAGGCGTCTGTCAGACACCTTAACAATCAGGCACTGATTGATTTTAGTTTGGACTGTGGATAAAGAGGAACGTTGCAGAAAACTGTAATGGACTGAGGAGATGGATACTGCATATGTAGAGAAGTTTGATTATAACAAATATAGCAGTAAGTCATGAAATGAAAACCACAACCAAAAGTGCTTTTATTGCACTGTTTAAACCTACACTATTAACCAAAGAATGTTTGCTGGAGAAACAATTAATTACAGGTATTATCAACATAATGTATTTTACCATTAATAAGTCAAAATATAAGGATGCAGTAGTCATTTTTGATGGATAATATGGTTAGCATGCACAAATTCTATAATTAATGATCTGAGTCGCTTCATATATTTACAGTATTTATATTTAATGTCAGCATTTTGAATTTCTTCCAGAACTCAGAATATCAATTATAGTCTAGTATGGTCTATGCTACTTCTATAGCATACATAGTCTGTATGCTATGTAAGTAAAAAATGCCTTTTTTTTCAAATTATACATACCATTTCCCTACATTGAATTTCATAATATCTACCCAACCCGTCAAGTTACTGTCGGATAGAAATACCTTCTGCCATTCATATGTTTTACAGATGCTTGAAAATGGTGTAGTTTTAATTTCCATTAGGGAAAAAATGCCAATTTCACATACAGTATACATCACAGAATAGCTTAACATAATATTTGCTTATGAGCACCTGTGTAGTGCTCCTCTTCTGTCTGTGACACTCTTATATTCACTATTTATACTGTGATGTTCTGCACAACTCGCTATGAACACAAACTGTACTTGAAAGACATGTGTGTCATCTTATAGTATTTTGCTGTGAATTGCAACCATGGTAAACAAGCTATATAGCAATAGCTAGCAAGCTCTAACATACAATATAGGATTAATTTGAAATATAAACATTTAAAATATTCTGAAATAATCTCAGAGAGAATCGCTATCCCCTTAACTATGTTTAAATAGATTATGGGGGTTTAGAGTTTATAGTCATTTTCAAGTGAAAATCTAGCACAATCACCTGACTGCCTGTGCTTTCTCAGTGCACTGGAAGGCTAGTCAGTTGCTCTAAGGGTTGTACATTATCTTTAAAACTAGTCAGGAAGTGAGGCTGTTTTGTGCTTTAGAACAGTTGCTGTACTAAGAAACACTTTTCAAATCCTAAATTAAATAAAGTTTTTTTTCAAAGATCTCATATATAAGAAACTAGCAGGTTTGGATCTTTACGTCTATTATTACTTTTTGATAAAAGAATACATGAAGAAATAAGTGCTTGTCAACTTTTTTCTCCTAACGATTGGCTTGGGAGATGCAAAAGGTTGCACCTCCTTTATTATGATTTTGCATTTTTCTTTTCTTGCTTACACAGTACAAAAATAATGAGATCTGAAGACTCAAGGACAAGAAGCACCTTCTGCAGAGCCATTGAGGTTTCCATGGCAACCTCTTTATATATGCTCTTAAAAAAATAAACCTCCATGCAGACCGTATAATTTATTAGGAGCTCTCTGGATGTGCTTTTGTGGACCCGTGTTTATGAGAAATTTATCAGTCTGGGATATGACTTTGTATGACTACCAGTGCTTCAGGCAAGGAAGTAAAACCTATGCCTCACTAGAACTGTAATCAAAAAATAAAAAAAACTAAGCGCTCGGTGTGCTTTGGTTGATTATGTCTTTGTTACCCTGACTAATCAAAAAACCCTGCAGGTTCAGTGATAAATCAATCAAAATTCAATGGCTTATGCACACATACTGTATACGGTTCATATACTTTTACTGTGGACTCTGTAACCTATTGAGTTTCCACACACTCCATATGGGGTCTATAAATGAACTTACTTTGCAAAAAAAAAGAAGAGGAACCATTTATTTACAGAAGTGAAGTGGTGGTGGAGTTTCCATCGAATTCCGCAGTGGAAATGTAAACAACAATCTTTGTAAAGCCAAAAGAAAAATCCATAATGTGGTTTAGGGGTTTGATGTTGCTGTGTCTGAATAACCCCCTAGGACTCCCTGTATTAAACACAAATAAGTAAAATGAGGTGAGCACACATGGGATTCCACCATGCTGCACCACAGTTCTCATTAGAGAAGACAGGGGAAGGAGAATGCTGTGTCTCTGTGCCTAATTCAAAGCCAATGCTTCTTTATGTCTCTGCTGTGTCAGGTAATTACGAAGCGGGCCTCTCACCCGGATGGCAGTATTGTTGTCATCTATTAAGGTATCTGACACCTCCAGCTGAGCTTCCTCCACTACTTTCTGCAGCACCATCCGGAAGGTCCCAATGAGCCTGGAAAACAGGAAGAAAAAATGACATCTTTCATAAATAATAGTGAAACAGTGATAAGGAATGGGGTCTTTCACTAACATGCTTGTCCTGCCTGCAATCAAAAAATATAAAACATCTTAAGTGGGATGTACAACAAATCAATATGACAATATGAAACAAAATTCCATTCTCTCTTGAAGCAGGCTCTCTGCTCACATTCTCTTACTTGTAGATATTGATAACATCGACATAACTGTAAAGGAAACCCTGGATAAATAACATATAGTAATTACTTAGAAAGTTGTCAATGTAATTCAGTTGCTCTATGCATAACACTGAATTCCCCTTCAGGTTTTAGGGAGTGGAAAACGTCTGTAAGGAACAAAGCCAATAGCAACTACAAAGCAAATTAGAATGATTTGTCAATGAAGCACAAAATGTGTTCCCTTAGCTGTGGTTTAATTGATAAATGGTTAAGTTTAATTGTATTTAATTGGGATTTAAAGGGCAGAAGAAACACTGCACTTACTATAGTACTATAGTATGTCCTCTCACAGAGAAGCACTAAAATTACTCTAGACAGCGCGTACGTGTACAGTTTGTTTTCATACTCTCCTGTTGCTTGCACCACCTTTGCCAATTTGTATTCTCCTCTTCTGTATAATTATTTGTAATTATTGTCAACTCAACAGTAAACATTTTTTAATTATTTAATGATATTTTTTACAGCTTAAATGCTTTGTTTAAAAAAAGAAAAATGAAAACATTTCTAAACAAATGATGGGCTCTGGGTTAAATTTTGGACCTGGGGATCTGCATGGAGTTTGTACTGTACTGTATATTCTCTCTATGTTTGTGTGAGTTTCCTTCGAGTGCTCTCTATTCCTCCTACAGGCAAAGACATACTGGTACATTAATTGGCTTGTGGGAAATGTCTGACCGGAAGGTGTTACAGGGGTGATGAGGTCAGCCCAGTTCATCATTGGAGTACAGCTCCCCTCTATTGTGGACATTTTTACAACTCACTGTCTCAGGAAGACTAAGGATACCAATCATCATAGTTTCTCACGTTTTTCCCCCCTTCCCTCTGGTAAGCGTTATAGCAGCATAGAGGCACGAACTTCCAGATTCAGAGATAGTTTCTTCCGACAAGCTGTCAGATTACTGTACTCTTCACCTACCTGTACTACTGGCTCACACTGATGTTTTTTTGGATTTTGAATTGGATAAAGTGGCTACTTTACATTACCATACAAATGGAATGATGGATGAATAAATAAATTATCACAAAATAATCAATTTAGTAATCTACTACTCCTTTATTCTGTTTGGGTTATCCATACTGTATGGTATGTGCCTACCTGACAAAAACTGTTAATGTAAAATTATTCAGAGAACTCTGGCACCACTATGCACGGAACTGAAGTGCTTTGTTTTGCCTTTTTTATTAGAGTAATTTTGTTTAATCATAGACTGTCCCTTTCTTCCCTTTTTGTGAAGCCCCAGTGAATTATTGGTTCTCAGATATGGATATCAACTTTGTTTCAAGTGCTTTACATCACAATAGCTCCTCTTTGTAAGGTTTCCAGGAGACAGCTAAATAACAGTCATCCACCATAATAAATACACAACATTACTTAGCCTTAGGGGCATTGAAGATCGCTGTCTGCTTGGTTTCACAAACATTCATCTTTATAACCGTGATGTTTGACTGGCAGAGCTGATTTCAAAAACATGTTTCATGAAGATATTTGAAATCGGACATGTTGTTCCACCCATATGGGTATGAAACACAAGCAAGAACAATTATCTTGCACAGAAATAATAAAAAAAAAAATTCAGTATGTTCACCATCAAATTTAACCCACTTGTCAATGGCAAATTCCTCACATTGGCTTGACATTGGGAGTATTCTGGAAGCTTCTTGCAACCAACAATCTGTCATTGGATGATATGTTAGTAAGCTGCTTTTTTCATTTATACGGGGTGTAAATGTCAAGTTTTGTGCCGATGAAAATATAAAAAATTGGCAATTGCAATCACTACTTGAAGGCCTTTGCAATGTCTAAGGAATTTACCTCTTTAAGTTTTTTAATCAGAGTTCCATATCATATTTCAAAGATGGTGCAAGCCATGCGAGGGTTGCAAAATAATAGGGAAAAGGTTCTGTGCTGAGAGTTAAAGAGAAGAAACAAAATGCTTCATGTGCAGAGTGTTGTGTTTCTTTTCTCTGCCTTTCAGCAGGGAATGGCATTTCAAAGACATGGATACATGCAGAACAGGTACAGAACAGGTATAAAGTACTGTAGTACAAAGTAAGTAAAAAATACTTCTCACTTTTTAGAATTCATGAGCTCCTGTATCAGTATTATGACAGGTACAGTATGCCAGTACAGGACAGATTTATTTCACCTTCTAAGGTGGTAAGGGAGTCAGAGTGTTAAACTGAAATATATGGGTACAGATTTATGACTTGCAAGAGAAATGATGAAGAAATACTGTGAGACTTAGATACATACATAACAGAAGCATTCCTAGGTGTCAAGATATCAGTCAGAGAATGACAGAGACGATTATCAGGTATAGGCTTGACCCCCTTACCAACCTTCAGAAAAGTAGGTCTTGTAGAAATTGTGGTAAACAAGTATGTTATATAAGCCACAGAAAATAAACATTCTGTAGCTATCGTGCTGAGGTAACTCCAACACATTGTATAACTTTCAGCTTTAGGAGGTGGTTGATTGGTTGTTATTTCTCCAGGTGAGTTAGAGAGTTATCTTCCCCACTACATTTTCTGTCAGCAAATAAGCTTATCATGCAATGAGATCAATCTACTGGCAGCTTTTAGCATTTTTTGCAACTGAGTGCTTTAGCAGTTCCTATGGAAACAGATTTGTTTCAAGTAACTCAATGGGTTTTATCACAATTTAATTTAAACATGGAAAGTAACTGCAGGATCATGTGCCCAGTTCAGCCTGTGACCATCAGGTCACACAGACCGTAGCCCATACTGTATATGCCAAGTAAACCAAGACATTGACATACCAGTGTGACTAATCACTCTGAGTAACACTGGTTTGTGTCCAAGCAGTGGACACCCTTCCTGCAGGAAACTCCTACAGCCCCAAGATAACTCTACTGACAGAACTATAAAAGGAACTACAGAAGCACAGATTACAGTACAAAGACTATAGAGTATAGAAACAGGTTCATGTAATGGAGGGATGAATGAAAACTTAAACTTAAGCAAAAAGCAGTATGTTGTATTGATGTATTTCACTTGTTTGTACACAAAATAACATTAAGTATTATATTCAGTGTCTTTCTTTTACCAGATATGAAATGCAATGAATCTAGAGGAACATCAACGGAAACAAGCAACCTAATTTAGTCGTTTACATACATTCAGATATGAAAAAAAATTTTTTGTCAGAATCCCAGGAAAATATACATCTGGAGTAAGGAAGTAATTCCCTACGTCAAGTGTGCATTTGATAATATTCTGTTTGTAAAAATATTAATCACACTTCTGAGGTTTTCTATAAATTCAAGGTCAGCAACATCTAATTACAGTAAATGTATCAAACAACACAATTAATATGTAGCTTCCATCAGCTGGAAATAAAAAGTACATAATAGCGATAAATACATATACTGTATGTATTCATCACAAATATTTACAATGAAACTAATTAATGAACACCTCATTAATTGAAAACCTAATTTCAAAATTTTAAAAATAAACATCAATTCATCACAGCTGTCTCTTGATTAATGAAGCAGCAACTTGAAATAAGCATTTATTACAGAACACAGGCAGGTGCTCTGATGACAGGAGTAATCTGCAAGTCAGAATGTTGTCACACAGTGTATCAACAAAGAAAATAAAGCCCTGGACTCTGATCTGAGGTCTGGGGCTCTGAACCCTGTAGCTTTATAACTGAGTTTCAATTATTTATTTTTAGATTAAATCAAAACTTGAAACCCCCTGCCATAATCCATCCCTAAACTGGATGGTTAGTACCTGTAGAAGCAACAAGCCTTAATCAAACAAAAGCTTCATAGACTGGATCTGGAGTTTGTGACCAGCACAATAATCAGTCTGAGCTAATAATTTAGGTAAACACTCATTCATTTGAGTCTTTACCTTAAGTCTTTGCTTCACTTATCCCTTTTTATAAAGACCTTTATGAAAAGTCACATTTGATTTTTTTTTAAATGAAACGCAACTCAAAGTTTACCAACTGTGGAGCAATTTATAATGCAGTACTGGCTTTAAATGTCCAATTCGCACACAGTATTTTCCACTTTTCACTTAAAACTATTAAACTTTAAAATTACAAATTCAGTATTCAATATACTGTACACACGCAGCAAGAACAAAAATAATAACAACACGGCTTCTGTAAATTTAGGCTTTACTTTGGATTAAGGTTAAGTAATTGACAAATAACAAGATTTTTGGGGGGGTTTATTCTTGACATTTCTTAAAGGCTGCAGTCTTTAAAAGCAGTGAACAGGGATATTACCATCTTATAATAACAAGTTATAATCATTGCAGATCTTGCACTGTTTGCAAGAGCAGAGGTGTAAAACTGGGTGTTCTGGCTTAATTCAACTTTGTTGTTGTACAATCTAGCCTCCCTAAAGTTCTCCTTCAATTGGCGAAGCAATTTCTCACTTCACCATCTATTCCACTGTGTATTGAATAGCTGCTACATACTGTATCACCTAAATGGATACTGCATTTCTGTGGTGGAAGAAATAGGTCCCCCTCTATACTGTATATAGAGCACTCTGGGATCCTACTGGGATGAAAAGCAAATTAAGCAAATTTTATTAATTAACTATAACAGAGTTAATTCTTCAAAGACTGAGAATGAAAAAGCTTCGTTTAAACACTTTATACTTACAGTCCAGTATAATTTTGAAAAGCTGTTGCTGAGTGCTGACAGTTGGATGAGGTCTACCAAAGAAGGAGTAATCAACTACTGAAAATATATACAAACTATTTTTACCCT